CTTGACGCCCAAGTAATGCCTCTTAACTTGTTTTGTCTACATCGCCCATAAAGTCTCTAAACCCTTTAGTTGAATTTCACCCACTTCAGAGAGATATTCAGGAAGACTACACTGCCTTAAAAAAAATTAAAACCACAAAGGCAAAAAGCACTGAAATGACTGAGAAAAAAAAAAATAGTATCTCATTTAGTTTATGTCACCTGTTCCCTCACCCAAAGTGGCTGTAAGAATGCAAATTGAATTCTCAACAAAGATCAAGAGTGGTACAATTCTGAGGAAACTCGTGATAAGATTTTCTGAATATCTCTTCAGGAAGTTTAAATAATTTACTGTAACTTAAATTTGCCTTGTAAATGAACTACAGCAAAACTGCATTTTCTTTTTCAAAACGGCAAAGGAGATGATGATTTAACCACTGAAAGCCATATTTTAAAAAAGTTAGCTTTTTTGAAATCTTAATTAAATGGACACTTAATGAAATAATACTCTATTAGTCCTGGTAGATCATCACCAATGGCAACATGAATATTTACAAGGTATAGACAAGACCAGTATGAATTTTTATACTGTACATAAAAAGTGGGGAGGTTTGTGCATTATTTGTGCATTATACATTATCACTAAATAAACTTAATACAGACTGAAGCATAACCATTCATGAGAGAAATGCTATAATGGAATTGTCCTCCATTTTGAAGGCTTCAAAACCAGAACACCATTATTTTCACAAGATGTAAGCTACAATAAAGGTTTTTTGAGACTACAGAGGATGTAAGTAAATTTTGCTTCTACCCCATTCCAACCTACGCCATTACCTTGAAGAATACTTTCAGCAGCAGTACTTTACAGTCGATCTGCTCAGGGTCTCTTTTCACTTACAATGAAAGTCCAGTCTGCATAAAAATATGCAAGCCCTATTCTTAACTGAATATAACAGAAAAGTTATAACAGGGCACATCCAGCTTTTGAATACAATTCTACTAAGAGCTGAGAAGCTTATTTTTTTATACCGAAAAAAGAAAAAAGCCTTATCCAACCTTTTTTTCTTCCCCAAAGCTTTAATCTTGTGTGACATGAAATGAGCATAGGCGAGGCTATATATGATCAATAGGACTGAAGGAATGACATTACAAGATATTTTTTCTGCCAATTTTACTGGCATAGATATGACAGAGCAGAAGGTGACTGAAGGAAAGATTCCCCAAAACATGGAGCAATCCGTTTCAAAGAAATTAAAAAAAAAAACACTCTGCAAGTTAAGCAAAAAATAAAAACGTAAGCAGGCTCTTGGGGCTTGTATGTAAATGTATGGAGAAAGACCAGAGATAAGGTAGAAAAGAAGCCAACAAGGCCTAGAGGCCTCAACTGAGGTGCTGGGCCTAATGACTACGCTGTTTCACCCTTTGTTCCAGCTTTTCCAGATGGAATCCTAATGGCTTAGGGTACCGAACAGTCACCAGACAAAAGTCTAATTCTCCACACGTGATCTCAGCTGACTGAATTTAAGGGACTTCATGCGTTCCAATGCATCAAATAAAAGGAACTGTTTGTTCAAGATATCCCCCTTCCACAACAACACAAGTTCCCCATACATTCCATTCCAGCTGGATTAATGGCATTTTGGAGCTAGAAAAGACCACAAGAATGAACTGAACTTGGACTAGCCCCCTCGTCTCACTCCACCCCTGTGCTCCAAGTCACTTTCCCTGTCTGCCACGTAAGTAAACAGACCAGCTTTGTTTTGTTGTTCTGGGCTTAAAACATTTCTGCAATCTTCTGATCTGCCGACAACATCTTCAATTTGAAGAGAAAAATGCATGTCTCTAAGAGAACCAGACTGTAAGTTACCGCCCTACACATGTGCAAGCAAGAGCAGCAGGATTGGACAAACCAGTTTTAAATGACAAAAACAAACCTTATGACCACAGCTGAAAAAATTTCAGGCTTGATAAGAATGAGTCCCAGTACACTATTTCAAGAAGGCTCCACTTCTGTTTTATGCTGGGAAGGAAATACAGAGAGCAAAATGCCTTGCGTTTTTTTTTAAAAAGCATGATGCATCAACTGCCTGACAATGAATGATTTTTCTAAAGTGCCAGTCAGATGAAGCAATGCACTCTATTCATTCCCATATGAAGGATCTTTGAAAATGCAAAGCCGTTTTGCATTTGTTCATTGCCACGCTCTGTTTAACAGCTTGACAAGCGTGACAAATAACCACATTAGGGGACACTGTTCACAAGATTGCACTTAATTTCTCATTAGCTGAAATTTAAAGTGTTTGCTCTGATTCAATTTGTTAAAATTATGCTACACTCCTCAGTCCTCCTACTGACCTTCCATCAGCTATGATCAGAAAAAGGATATCAAACCTTCCATTCTGTTGTGGGAGAGATTCCATGCATTAGAGGGAAAAAAACAGAAAAACAAGTTTTGGAAGGCCTCAGCAAACTATGGTGAATTCTTTCACCAAGATCATATATCATAAATAATCATGTTTGAAACATTTAGGAGATCCAGGAGAGATTGGATCTTGACCTTTATACAGCTAGAACTCAATCTTACACGAGGACACATTCTAAGGAGCAATCATGACGGAGGCAAAAAATGTTACAAGGACAGAGAAAAGCATTTAAAAGTACCTGAAATTTCATACATTCCCAGAACTTGAAAAATCAATGACATTTTCCACACTTGCAAAAATCTTTTCACCAAAGAGTACTGAGCATTATTTTAAAATAAAGAATTTGTATTCATCCACTCTTCTGTGTTGCGTTTTTCATTTTGGGTGCATTGTGTAAAAATTGAAATGCTACAACTTGGTTGGGACTACAATATATCCAGACAAGCCTAAAAATCCTCATATTCCAGCACATGCTTTTACATGGACTGGAACTAAAGGGAACTGTGAAAATACAAACTTACTGCTGTGAATCAGAGAAAAATGCCAACATAAGGATGCCTGACAATTCAAGAGCAGAATGTTTCTTTCAGATGCAGATCTGAACTGAAGAGATATTAGCCAAGCACCGCAGGCTGGTGTACAGATACTGACGAAGACTCTAGAATTAGATTTATCCTTGTTATGTGACCTGCGCTATTCACACAACACCCAAGCTGACAGTGAGGCAGTCTAAATGTAAATATAAACCTCCCCTACCGAACAAGAAAACCAAGGGGAAATCACCAAGGAAAATAAAGTAACAGCTTGAAAGGAGAAGTCTAAACTGGTGTTGAAAGACAGCACCTAAAAATTACCATTGCTCAGAAGAGGCATTAAGCCCAAGACTACTTATTAAGGATCCCACAGCAGAGGTGTCTAGGCTGAATTCCACTCTGGGCTTGAATGAGTCGGCCCTCCTAAAGGCTGTCCTTTAATTCTGCTGGTGAAGTAATTGCTCTCTTCTCCCCCCGACTTGTTGTTGGGATGCAGGTGCATAATGTGCAGTTCTGCAACAGCCATCACCCAGGTGGGAGCAGCACGTTAGCAGAGGATGAAATGGGTCCCCATCCTAATCAAATCGCTTTGAGATTCTTTACAATGAAGAGTGCTATGTAAACACATGTTTACACTGGTTCCTAAAAGTCTTTGTTAACTCCTTGTACCCTGATGTCATCAGATCTCCTTCATTAATGACCTGCAAACATCCCAAAACTAAGGAACCACAAAAAAAGGTGATTTATAGATTCAAAAGACCATTAAAAAGATCTGGTGGCTCCCTACTAAACAGCGAAGTCTGAATAAAGCCTCTGATAACCCATTTGTTATCAGAGCAAATTTTTTACCACAAAATTTCAATAAAACTTTAAATAAAAAACAATAAAACACTTTTTTACATTTCTTTACCTCATTACTGTTACAACACAAGTAAAAAAAGAGCATAAAGAAAGTGTTGAAAAGGAGTGTTATTCTATACATTAACTACATGAATGAATACACTTGAGATGCGGAACAGGAGCATTTTGATTGATTTTGTACCAAAGCCTAATCTACTTTAAAACAGAGGTGACAGATTATATCCAAATCATGAAGAATTTTTTTTTTTCCCCCTGAACAGCAACCCATTAGCTTTCTGCACGTCAATGTAAAAAGGATGTACTAGAAGGGAAACCTTTGCTTAGTGATTCAAGGTACCCATTATATCTTAAGCAGTTAGTTAAATAACTACTGTGTGTTCTGAGGTTTGCAATGCAGAAGCAAACACCTGCCAGGGCAAAACTCAAATTAAAATAAAGACTCGCTAAAATAAAATGCATTTCAGGAACGCCTTATTGTAATGTGGAACTCCTCTTACATTTTGTCCTTCCCTTTGTAAAATAGCACAGGAATCAGGGAGCAATGAGGAGCACAGAGACTGTTGTCTGGTGCTGTGTCTTGCCTTTGCTATCTACTGTAGCTAGCTGGAAAAGGGGATGTTTCTTAACCCCTGAACCTTGGAGTGTTTCGGCTGGGACTTTTCATCTGGGCTGCACTGACACAAAAAAAGCTGAAAACAAATGTTAACAAAAGTGTCCTACCCCAAGTACATCCAGGGAACCTTGTCAAACACCACTTGAAACTTTACTGCAACACAGTGCATCGTCTTCATCACGTCAGCTCTCTCAACTCCCAGCACTGCTTGATTTCACACATTCTTTACCACCAGACAGACCCAGTATGTTATGTTAGATAATTTCCAGAAAGAACCAGATTTCATTTCCAATGTGAAAACTATTCTCTCATTAAATCCAGCACTGCAATATTTTTTTGGGCTTCAAGCAGAAGAACAGCAGACAAAAAAAAGGCAGAAAAATCAGCTGCAAAGACGTTTGCTAAGAAAAAATGATTTTACTGGATATAAAATATGCAAGATTTTGCAGGTAAGGGCAATGTTAATTCACAGTGAGTAATAAAAAAATAATATTGTACTGAAAAGGCAAATATAGAGCAACCAAAAGATCACCAATGATTTTTAATGAAGCCAGAACCAAGTAAGCATGGATGTATGAATATTCCTAACCTGCAAAATGATTCCTCCACATTATATCAGCGATAGTCATTGGTGGGCCACTGGGAGGGTAGTGTTTACCTTTGTCATGATCAGTCCTTATCATATCCATTAAGGAATTCTCCAAAGAGTGCAAGTTAAAAGCATCAAAGGGCCGATTCCGGTCCTGAAAGAGGGGGAAAAAAAAAGAGGTCACATCAATGTGCAAATGTTTCTGGATGAGCAACTCACATAGACATTAAGAGGTTGTGAACAAGAAAAGGCCATTCAGACTATCTAGCTCATTCTGTTCCCAGTAGCAAGCCTAATTGATCCCAGGTTGTCATCCAGCATTCTTCTAGTTAGCGGCTTCAACAACATGGCTGGGTCACTTGTTTCAGATTCCCACAACTCTTTCCATGTAAAGATTTGCCTCCTGTTTTCATTTACGAATGCAGTCCCCTGTAGTTTCCATATGGCTTCCGAGTTTATATGAGAACATAAGAGAAAAGAAACCAGAAATCATTAATGATTTCATTACAGTTTGGTTGAATTAAAATGCTCTGGACCAAAACAGGGGGCCCACAGAGCATACTCTGGACCAGTCAGGTGTTGTAACTGTATCAATGTGTAAGTATCAATATGAAACGTTGGGGAAAAAAAAACCAAAATGTCCTGGTTTTTACAGTATGGCATTAAGAAACTTCCTGATCAATTGCCCCAGACCCTCTACAGTTAAATAGCTAACAAATAAGCTCCAAGCCCTGAGGTTGCAATCTAATCATGTGACCAACAGATGACTAAAGAGTCCTGACGTAACCAGATGTGGAACAGGGACTTCATAATTTTTGCCAAACATTAGGAAGGGGCAAATACCATCAACAAATATAAAACAAACTGCTTCTGTTTTTTTTGGATTAATAGGAGAAATAATGGAGGCTTATTTATCCAACTTCACATAACTTGCAATGGTCTCACCATGACACATTATAACCCATAAATGTTAATTTCAGAAAAAAAAATTGGAATACTGTGTTACTGAGTATAAAGTTGCTAAACTGAACATACCATAACTAGCTTGCTGCAAATGTGACTGAAGCATCACATCTCACTGTTCAGGCCAATATTGCTTAATGCAGGCTAAAGGCTAAAAGCTGCCCATCATGTGAGGGTTACTAGTTTTACATTTACTTATTGGTTACATTTCGTTATACACACATGGTGTCTGTCATAAATTCATGTGTCCTTTGGGGGATTAAAAAAAGATATCTCGAGACATGAGTCAAATGTTTCAAAATCAGTTTCCTCCAACCTAAATTAGCTTCACTAACATTTACCCCAATACAGTATCTATTCAACCTTCACATACATTTCTTCTTCTGGTAATTTCTCCAGCATTAAGGAATGTTCTTATATCGGAATTGTGTAGTAGCCACATTGGTACATACATACACCTTTAAGAAGTCAAACCTTTTTTGTTAATGTCTGTTTTCAGTTTTGAATGGTTTCACATCAAAGAATAAGTAGGATGTTAAGTCGAGAGTATTCCATTAAAAATTTACGTAAATTCATTATTTCCTATTAAAATATTTCTGTTCAGTTTTAGAAGTATCCATACACAGCACAGCCACAAAGATCAACCACAACAATGCGTTTTAAAGCAACTGCAATTCCAGTGTGATATAGCTATAGAAGGCGCAGTTTATTATGGGTGGCAAAGTCTTTTTGCAAAATTTTTCAGAATTCATATTATGTTAAAAGTGTTGTAATTGAGTGCTGATAACCTGGTAAAATAATCCCTAAGGTATAACCACATATTAAGTAATGAAAGTCACTGTTAAACTGTTGTTGTAATGCTTCCAAGCTATATTATTTGAGTGCTTACATCATGCTTAACATGCATAAATACATTAATAAACTTAGAAAGTGTCATTTGCATCTCCTCATGTGTTACTGAAACCCCAAAATTTCCTTTCAACCCAATTTCCTTTCTGTGCCACTTAAACAGAAGTGCAGACTGATTTGTACAAACAGATTAAAGAGTTAAAGGAAAGAGGTCAGCTACAATCAGGGAAAAGCAGTTAAGTTGAAGGCCTGCCATCGTGCACTTGACATTACAGTTCTCAGGCTCGTACCCGAGTCAAGGCTGTTAAAGTGCTGTACCCTGCAGTCAGCAAGGATGAGGTGGACCAAACTCTGCATTTGACAAAATGCTGTAATCCTTAGAAATAGTTTGTAGTATCAAAGGTATTGCAAACCATGCATTGTATCATGCCAGTAAACAGTTTGACAAGCAGCTAAAACTCACAGTTGGCAGCAGTGGTGCTAATCCACGGGCCATGCACATTGTTTGCACATGAGCTATTGTAATGTAATTGGCTGAGCACTCAGAAGTGTTATTCATTTTCTGAGCCTGCATATTGTTCAGCATTACGTTTAAGATAAAAATCTGCTCACTTCGTACAAATGTTAAAAAATTTACATGCTGAGCTTTTCATTTCCCATTTCGGCTTCAAACTCTTCTCACCGCTTTAACAATGCACTTCTGTATGGAACTTGATTTAGAGAACCAAAAAGACAAGCATCTTTCTTTTCTTGCAGTACAGTTGTCTGGCCCACTTATTTCAACACAGCTTTAGCTTTAACGGTTAAACTGCTAACGAAGTGTTTTTTAAAAAAAAAACTATATTCTATAGTTCTGTGTAGAGACAAAAAAGGCAATTAAATTTCAAACTGTAATGGAATCCCCTAAAGAATTCCATAAGAAGTTTTACACATGACAGTGTACAATGGAAATACAAAGCAAAACTGTAAAAAGAGAACGTTTATGAGCATTAACTGCAGTTTGTGAGTGGAAATGGTGTTCAAGGTTCTCTTGCACCAAGATGAACAAAACAATAAGAATATAACTAGCAGACAGACAGTCATAGCTGAAGACACATCACGTATTAGAAGTTAACAATTTCTTTAATTCTCACACTTGACAAGATGTCTTTTTGTATTAAAATAATTATAAAAAGATTCTGGAGCTCATGAACATTTTTGTTGCAAATGTTTTTACAATTGTTATATTAAAATATGTATATTTTAAAAAAAGATATTTAGTTGACACTGTTAAAAATAAATGAACAGCCTTTTTAAACAAACAACAGTAAATATAGGTTCTGTTACAGACATGTTGAAGTCTGTTCCAAAGATAGAAACATGAGTGTGATCCTGCATTTACATCTCAGACTGTAATAACTGTGAAAATGGGCCCTGTTCCGCTTTTATTTAGAAAATGTGATCTAAAAAATATGGTTTAAACTCCAATTTATAACTGGTACTTAGTAGCCTTTATCACATACAATAAACACAGGAAAAACCATATAAAGAGCTGTTTGCTTTCGGACAGGAAAGTAAACTCAAAGCTATGTCAATAAAGTGCTATTTTACGATAACAAATGTCTCTTGGAAAGATACTAGTATGTATATCCCGAACTTCTGGAGCAATAAGGGAAACTGGTGTGGCTGTTGTACACCGCATCACAAATTATATGAACTCTCGGGAAACTAATAATTTAAAATCTCTTTTTTATTTCATTTCTTCTTTTAGAAATGTAAATTTCAAAAGGCAGAATCAAATTACAAGGCCATACTAAAAAAACTAGGATAACTCTATTACTACTATGTATATTCTGCACAAAATATGGCTGCTTACTGACTACTGTTACTGTTGCCTAACTAAATATTGCTGCAACCCTGCAGAAACTCCATTAAACTTGAAAGACAATTCCTATGTTAGGTCATGGAGTACTTATCCTGGTATTAGATTGTTGCATTTTATGAATGTGCGAAAAAACCTCCACACAGGCATGCCCCTATCGCACCCAGAAGGCATGCAAACCCTCACCAATTTGCATCTCAAAGTTAGTGCACATCCATTTTTGGTGACCTTCCAATTTATTTCCATCAGAAACTTCAACATTACTGCAGTAATTGACACCCAACCTCTCTGGATGCAAATCTGGAAAGACCTGGATATGAACCAAAGGCTTGCTTGTCATTTGAGGGAACACTTCAGAAGAACGTGAGCAGTCATCCAATTTCTTTTTTTTTAGTAATGGCATGAAATGCTAGATAGAAATCCTTTCCGAGAGCATTAGTAGGAGTCGTGCCATTTCGCAAGTCTCTTTCGGAGAAATAGTAGCTTGTGTGTTAATACACATTTCTATGAAAACACAAGTAGACCTACAATGTGTTAAACTCATTGTAGTCCGGTACAAAAATAAATCCGAGTAAGTAGCAAGTTTATTTTAATTGAAATGACACTGAGGGAAGATTTTCCTATGCAAAAAGAAGCCATTAATCAGCAGGTGGTAAAATTATTCTGCTAGAACTGTAACCATGATACTGTATCTCCATTTCCTTCTCCTTCATTTCACTTCAGTAAGCAGATAGCCATGTGCAGCACAACATATGGCCCCTGTGACCTTGTGTCCTAATGATAACTGTCTCCTACAGCAAGTAGTGCTTATCTACATTATACAATATTAACTAAACTGAAACTTCATAATTCACTAGCATGTCCAATGATGTATCATACTGAGCATAAGTTTCAAATATGAAACAGACGTAACGTTGGCTTTCAGTACTGGTTAATCAATTCAAAATAATGTATAAAAAGCACACTCTAATTTCATGGCCTGAAAACTACATTGCAAACACTTCCAGTACCATATGGCTGTTGTTACAGCTGTGCACAGTGTGCTGGCCAAGAAGGAGGAACTTGAGAAATCCATTAACTGACAAGAGGCGACAAGTTTCCTAAAATATCAAAAAAACAAGCGCACTGCCGATTACCTAAGAGGCAGAAAGAAATAGAACATTCCCTGTGAAAATTGTGTGCAACATGTGTTGCACATCAAAGGCGAGCCAAGCCGTACACAGGCTGAACCTCTTTCACACTGCCGCCAACAAAACCTTCAGGTATGTTCAGTCCTGAAAAGGTAGATATTTGGGCACCATTAAATGAAAGAATATGCAGAAAACAATATTTAGTATAATATTCCACACGAAACATGCTGATGTGAGGAGTTGGGCACTAAGGGTGGTGCTTTCTGGGTTCTGTTAATTAATCATTCAAAGAGCGTGTTTATCATACTGGCAGTCCACTTTCCCTCCTTTCGTGAAACATGATGTTAATTAACTCTGGGACGACAACAACTGAAAAATTGCATCCTGTGTGCATGAAAATTTAAATTTGAACACATTTTCTTGGATGAACAAAGCACTTTGTCTACTTGGAATCTTCAGAGAAATAAAACTTCTAACTCTTCTTGTAAGTCTAGCTTTCCAACGTGAGATTTAGTTCCTGGGTTGTGTATATATGTATTATGTATAGGACACATCCAATATATAGACTAGCATGCTGAAGGCTATGTTTGTTGCTGCCCCACATTCTCTAAAGTATAAGCTACAACATCAGGTTCAACTCGTAATGAGAAACTGGTTTGGAAGAAGATTCATTCAGCACTGCTTATGTATGAATGTTTACAAACACAATAACGGCGAAGTCCATTACCACATACACAGAGTTAAGCATTAAGGAATCATCAGTTGCTCACTTCCCTAAAGCTGCTTACACCAAAGATGAAAGGTTAAGGGTCATGAAAATTCATGTCCAAGCATTACAGAGTTGCTGATCCTGCCGAGACTCAAAGATAGAATGGTATGGGTCTCACCGCACATGGTGGGGGGAGATTCACAACATGCTGTATTTATTTCTTATGACTGCTGCTAATGTTATGCCAACTAAGCCACACACTCACCGAGGTTGAGTAAAGAACATTGTGTTGAACCCCATTATTCTGAGGTGAGTGCAAGGCAAACAGCAATGTCTAGATCGGTGTGAGGGAGACACTGTTACTAGGCAAAGAAATTGAAGGACATTTTTTACTAATTGTGAACAGGCTGGCAACAGAAACTTTTATAGTAATAAAATTAGGTCAAAGTGAATCATGACTGACCAGTTTTTTTCAAACAAAGTCTGTGTGGTCCCAATCAAGATCAAGTGCAAGATTAAAAACGAATGCAAAATTTTCCACTACTGAAGTACATTCAATTCTATGCTAATCAATTTCTTTTAGTAAAAACTGAATAGATGCAATTAAATTGCTTGCTTCAAGTTCTAAATATTTATTCAATGTCAAGTGATTTAACAGATCGACATTATACTCCTCCTGTTTACTAAAAATAACACATGTAAAAACGTGTTTTTGCGGCAGATATTTATCATTACTGGGTGATCGTCTCTCCTTTTATATATTCGGACAGTATGCACCTCATGGAAGAAGCAAATTAATCCGGTAAAACTATTTTTTTTGTCTCCTCGAACGGTAAAGAGGAGCTCAGTGAGCCACTTAATTAGTGCTAGCTCCCATCTTCACTCTTCAGTCTCCAAGCTTTGATCACCTTTTAGTAAAGGTCTGACACTGACAATCAGGCATGCTCTTCATGTAAAGGTTTTACAGTTGGAGGAAAAAAACATAGCGCAGGCGTAAATATAGCATATACATACTACTGTTAATCATCTATATCCGTTTTGATCATTTTTTTATTATACCCAGTTAAACAACTAAAACAATTGAACAAGGTGTTGGAAATCTAAATGTATTTTAATTAACAGCAACTAATTTCACTATTATTATTTCTTATTTAATGATTATTTAAGTATTTCAGTCTTATTTCAGGATTAGTTTTCTAACATTTTTTAAATGGTCAATGAGCAAGACATTTTGTCTTTAGGTAATGGCTATAAAAATCAAACTGAAAAAAAATCTATAAAAATGGAAAATTATTAATGTAAAATTACCTGCAGCACTGCAATGTCAAATTCCTGTGTCCTTCCATTTTTACTTATTTCATAATACACAGAGGCCTAAATCTGGTTTCATCAGTGACTGGTGTCAATGTAGTTAGGAAAACAGGATTGAGTCAGTTTCAGTCCGAAAAATACAAAACTGCTCCCCGAATTATTACCTACAGTATATGTACTGCATGCCAGCTTAAAGTTATTTTTTAACCTAAAAACAACCACAATCCATCCATTTTTTTGAAGAGTATGCATTAGCCAAAGACAAACTTAAAACTATTAAATAACACATATTAGCAAAACCCTGGAACGTAAACGTATTTCAAAACTGAACGTTATTTTTTCATAAACAGATGCCCTCCCATTTAAAAGCGCCTAAGCTCTCACCAAAACAGAATAACAACAGGAGCAGGCTTTGAATGCCGAAACAAAAAAATAGTACTAAAGAATAGCAGAAGTCAGAACAAGCACTACTAAAGAACATATCCCCCAAAATTAAAACAAAATCAGATTTCTACTTCTAAGAGTTACAAGATAATAATTTGTTTAATCTTAAAAATACAATTTTAAAAGAAAATAAAATGAGACACTGACTACTCTTCATCAGAGAAAATATCTGGTGTTCTCAGTGTATTTCCGTTGCTAGGAAGCATAAAAGTCATAAATGCCACTAAAGATACCCCTGGATATCTTCCTCTTACAAACAGAGAAATAAAGCAGGACAGACTTCTATCAAGAAAGCCACAACTGTCTTCATGGATGGAAAAGATTTTATCCAACTCAGAGATGACAATTTGTGAGAATGCTTCACATGGGTTAAACACGTTTTAAGCTGTTTAATTATTTAGGTGAGCTATGTGCTATTTTATTTCTCTCACAGGACAGTTTAGGTAACTCGATTCCACAAAAGGGACGGTCAATGTCACCCAATGTCATGGATTTTTAAAATACCTTTGTATGTTAGAGCTCTACACAAACAGGGTTTCCAGTCTGATCGGTTTGCCATAGGTAATGGTCTTATTCTGAAACCAAAAGTAAATATGTATCATAAACGTTTTAAAATTACATGTTCATACTTGAAACGGACAGGTGTCCTTAAAAAAATGTAAGTCTGAAAGCTGTCATATTATTCACGTCTGAAGTTGTTCAGGGGAACATGAATTGTGTTCTTCACAAACACCGGTTTTCAACCATCTTTAATTATTTAATATTTGTATTATACTGGTTTAAATACGGAGAAGGGACCTAAAAAGTAACTTGTCAAGTCCCAGAGTCACAGACTGGACAGTTAGAAGTTCATGACAGATTAAATCAAACGGGCTGTTCAAAGGAAGAACAACAAAACACTTCAAAAACCTCTTAGAGCAACGCAGGGACAGATCTCAATGCTCCAGCGCCCTGCCATGACAGTAGGCGTAACACGCCACTTGTCCTGGAAACTTGAGGAGACGGGCAAATCCCGCCCACATCTCCTGCGGTGCCCAATGACAGAAGAGCAGTGTGCCCTTTAAACACTGTGAGCTGGCAAAATAATGGACATGAACCTTAACCCTTTAATTCCACCGCGGAGGCGTCAGCGTGACAAAACCAGGAGACAGTCCACTCTTATCTGGCCGACAAAAAGTCAAAACCTGCATTCCCTAACAAGACGATAAAACAAAAGGAGAGTTATTGAAGTAACCCCTGCTAAAACGATACCAGTTCAGTACAGCAACACGGCTCACATGCCTGCAGCACAGTAGTGGTTAATTGTTCAGAGCAGAAACTTCAGGATAATGATAATGTATAATTAATTTTTGAAAGGAGAAAAAGATCACGTATCCTACAACAAAAAATACTAACATTTCAGTGTAAAAACGTAACAGGTAAAACTACAAACGAGGCCATTGATAAAAATAAAAGAGCATCAATAGAGATACAAATTAGTTGCTATTTAAACCAAACCAAAGAATTACTGAATTGTTATTAAAAACAATAAAATTACATCAAAGCGTTTCCCCCCCCCCAGCATATGAATACCTTGTCCAGCATCGAAGGCTTCACTAAAAATATGGCTGTGAAGGTCATGTCCTACAGCAGTCTCCTCTGCACATACAAATTTCACCCTTTGACAAAATTAATAATGACAGTAATATCGATTTCGTCTAAACAGACGAGGCGTTTTCTTCACAAGTGTGCCATTTTAATCTAGCGCCGAAGAGGATATGATCCAGATTAGAGGACACTCAAAAGAAGGGGGTTCAAACACGCAAGGACAGAGGCAGGAGAAGGCAACTGTTAATTTAGTTGTCGCTGTGAAGATAAAATATGTACCCTTTGGAGAAAAGAGAGACCTGCGGTTATTCAGCTTTCCATATGGATCGCTGCGACAACCACATCCGACCGTACAGTGGCATTTCCAAACCGGCATATGAATGCTGCTGCAATATTAATCCACGATTAAAATTTAAAGAGCTATTTATTCACCTATTATATGATAAATTTATAACGGGCACTGTGAGAATACGTATTTGAAATGACTGAAATGTCAGTGTTCTAGAGGGCAAAATATATACTGTATTTGCGTTAGGACTACATAGCAAGAAAACAGACAACGCTACGTTTCAGCGATGGGTTTACCTGAAAAGGCAGCATATTGTTGCTGTTGTCTGTTCTGAAGGCGCTGTCGTCCATCCAGGATTTGGGGGTCAGAGGGGCAGCTCTGGGGAACTTCGGCGGGGCAATGACATTGCTAGAGTAAGGTTTTTTCAGCGGGGAGATGGGGTTAAGGGGAGACGGCACCCCGACGCCGACCCCCACCCCAACCCCAACGCCCACTGCTCTCCGCGGGTCCCTGCCTGCCTGGAGCCCGCTCCAGGGGTTGGAGGCTGTGCTCCAAGAGGGATTCTGGTGATTATTCCAAGCGGACGAGGAGGCGGAGGATGAAGGAGCCTTGCTGTTCATAAGGGTCTGGTGGCTGTAAGCATTTCTCTGGGGGAACGGGGCTTGGTTGGGACTTACGGGTGACCTCCTCTGCTGCTGCTGCTGCTGCTGTTGTTGTTGCTGCTGCTGCTGCTGCTGTTGTTGATGCTGATTCTGTGCCAAGCCGATCTGGGGTGAGAATGTGCCCCCGAATACCGGGTTAACGTGGTGGGGGAAATTCTGGAAAAGCATTGTCCCATTCACCGGGGGTATCCCTTGGAAAAAGCTATCGTCCACGGCGTTCGTGGTCCCGGTAGACCAAGTGCTGCCGAAGGAAGGGGACACGGAGGTGCCGCCGGGCTCCTGTGGCTGGTGAAAACTCAACCCCGGCAGGATCGGCGACTCCATCGGCACTTTCTCTTTGCTGCTCTGGGGGGTCGCTGCCTGGCTGATGACAGTCGTCGGGCTCTCCTCCGATTTGGGGGGTTCCGAGGAGGGGGTCGGGGTGGTGGAAGGAGGCTCTACGCTTGCTGGATCCTGGTGCTGCTGTTGAGGCTGGGCTTTGCTTTTGTCCATCAGTAAATCATCCTGCATGGTTTGCTGAGCTGTAACAGGGAAAAACAAAGACGAGTTATTACGGAGGTTCTCATGAGCCACAGTCGCCAGGCTCCTATGGTATTTGGCCAGCAAGAACCCGGGGAGGGGGTAGTTGTTATTATTGCTACCAGTAATGCTGGGACAAGCCGACTGCAAGGCAAATCCGGAATCACCCATTTAGCAGAAACTACGAACTGCCGGTATGATCGCGCTAACTGTATTCTCTCGCATGAAAGACTTATCGGCTTCACCCTTTCAGACGCCTCCGTTCCCCTCAGCAGTGAATGGGAAGATATGCTTGGAGGACACAGATATTCACCAATTTTCGCCACGTCTCTTTTTCCCTTTTCACCGGAACTCCAGACTGCAATGTGAAACTGATTCTTGTTCCTGTTTTTTTCTAGGACCACCCCTAAATTCATTTGCATACGTCAATAAATACAGCTGCGTCCTTCAGCAAGGTTAAAGAGATACACCACCCCCCATTTCACAATCAGGGTATTTAAAGGGACAGGTGACGGATATCTCAATAACGAAAATAATTCAACCTTGCGCTTTTTTTAATTGAAAACAAAACTGTTAGGTCAAATCAAACAGTTGCCTGACACCAAAAACATTGCAGGAAAATAGCTTGGTCATACCAACGTAGTGCTGAGGGAATGAAACTAAAAAGAAAAGATCGAGAATGTGGCGAGAATGAGATAATCGTTATTCTTTGTTAAATAAAAAAATGAGATGGCTCCACAATAGGCACATTTGAATGACGTGGTTTTGTCAAGAAGAGCACAGAGCTTGTTTAGATCTCGGATGAAATATTTACCCTATGCAAAAATACTGATTAGAAATGCTTACATAATCAGGCCTAAGGAGAATGGTTATTTCGTATCCCAGCTCTTATCCTTGTATTCCTCCTCAATGAAAGGGGTGGGGATGGGATTCAGGGAGTTGCATTTAAAAATATTAGCAATTCGATTTAATTTCCCCAAGTTTTCTTCTCTTGAAATCCCAATAAATTATTTGTTTTTTTAAAAAAAAACAATGGTTACTCCCATTTCATTATCTTTCCTGGTAAAACATGAGTTCCGAAGCCATGAATTTTCAAGATCTAATTAACGTAGATACTTTAGTGACACCCGCAATTTAACCCCTTCCTAAATATGAAGGGGAACATGAGCTATAGCTCACATTCCCACATTATTAAGACTATTATTAGATTGCACTATTTGGCACATATATCGAAAGCAAGTAAACATTCCCCTAAACTAAAGTCACTTGTACTATATTTGTAAGGGTTTTTTTTATTGACGTTGTTGCAAATTAAATGACAGAAAAATAATTCAATATATTGTTTTAGTTAGAGATGATCTTCAAGTCGTTGGGGGTATTTTCTAAGAAAGGCAAGGCAAATCGCTGCGATTAAAATTAGACCTCACTGATCTCTCGAGCAACTGCAGCAAATGGTTAACCCAGACGTCAAACTAGACGGAAATTCTTATCTACTTTGCATATTTAAAATGTAATCCCGAAGGTTATGAAAATATTCATTATAAAAATAAATGACACCGTGCTTAACAAGCAATAAAATCGCTCGTGAACAGTATGAATTGTGTTGTATTGAGTTCTCTAGTGGTTTATAAACTAGTAAAATAAATACTGAGCCGGAAAAAAAATTACGTTATAATTATGTAAAAATGCGTTATGTTATCGATTTTCGTCGGTTGCATTTCACAGAAAACATTAAACAATTTCATACACAAACTGGTAAACATCGTACAGCTCGCTTCTCCATAGCTAATCCTTGTTTTTCCTGTCGCTACAGCAGCCAAACCAAGGTCACCAAACGTTTTGAAAGTAAAACAGCAATGGGATCTTTATACAAACTTATTTACAATAAGTACACTCTTTGTAAGAAGCCGCACACAGACATTATTAGAAATACAATACACAATCTATACGTATACAGAACACGTAGATATATCTTCATTTTCAGTTTTTTTTAAAATCCGGCATTCAACTGATGTTTTTTTGCTTTAAAAAACATCGTTGACTGTCATGCACTGCGTGGTACTTCTACAGTTTTCAAGAAACGAGGCTTTACCTTTTTCGTTCACCTTTTGGGGTTCTGTAAATAGGGCTATTTCTGTTAGCCTCGGCTGGGCTTGGAAATGACAAATGAGCTGCTGCCGAGGTAGAGTCAGCAGTAGCTCTAACAGCTGATTGACTCGGCGGCGCATGGGTGAGACTGAAGAGATTGTAGGGATTTGTAGTCCTCTGTTGCGCTGCGGTAGTATCTACGACTTGTTAAGTTGTATGAGCGAGAAAGTGAGCTTGATTATCACGGTTCTAGTATTACTATTGTCCCTACTTGGATTTATGTTGTCCAGCTTTTACAAGTTTTAAGTTACGTCAAGAGTGTATTTAAAGTATCTTAAGTGTATAAAGGCTAAGGCTGAGGGGTTCGGTCTGCAAACCTCTTACTGTAATTCAAAAACGTCCCCGAGACTCAGAGATAAAACCAATTGATGTTAACGTTTTTTAAAATCATTTGACATGCAGTAACGACACACCCGATTTATTCGTTAGGTTTTTGTGTTCGTGAATGTTATTAGACGAAATAGAACATAGCAATTACTTGATAGCTGCAAAAGGAAGAGATGCGCAGTAGAAATACGTGACTGTGTTTTCAGTGAGACTGGAAGAGTCACGGGACACTCCGATGACCGGGAAAAATAGCATGATTTTTTTAAGTGAACAAATTTCTATATTAATACATACGTTGCACTGAAATCCCCGCAAACTGCACACAAGAAATCAAGTAATTAAGTTATCGACAAGCAACGACAAGGTGATTGTTATGACAATTGTTATCATCTATAAAAAGAAGGCAGTGCCCTACCAAAATAAGACGTATTCTGAAGCCATATGTGTATCTTCATGCTTCTTGTCATCCCAAGCAGGCGTCGAGCCTCCGGGCAGACACGAGATAGAGCATAAATTTGTGTAAATTAACACGATGTAAAACGATAGGAAATCGGACTACATATCCCAAGCTCCCAGCGAGTGTGCCATTTTCCGGAGGTTGCTCCGGCAGCTTGTTATTATTGGTGACGCAGTGCGCATCGCTGTCGTCCCCTTGTTACGTCACAGAGGTTGGCAGTCAATGGAGTCAAGCAGTTACAACGACGTGATTACATTCATAACAAAACAAAGTATCATTCGGCAGGGCCACAATCTGGATGTGGGAATTAGTTCTTTGGGATGATAGATGGTCCTTTTTTTAGTAGTCGTTATTTTTTGCAACTGAAGATTTTTTTTAGCGTTGGAGTTTTGATCGCGTCCGTGTGCTTGATTTAAGCCTTGCGCTGGCAAAGGCCCCGTTTTTTTTGTGATAGAGACATTACGGGCCTCTATTCAGTATTAGGTGTTGTAGAGGAAGAGTGGTTTTTAAAAATTGATACCGACATGGCAGACCAGAATTCTGCGGTCGTGCAACAGAGTTTCGACAGGTGGGTAAATACATGCATGGTTTATTTAATAACCTGTGGCTGCATGCTCCGAGAAGCCTTCGGGATGCATTCCTGAGCTGTTTCACAAGGTTTAAGTCATTCACATTACAAACCTCACTGATCTGCAGCTTAGAGGTCAGGAATAAGGAATTGCAATTGGCAGTTGAACACAATAAACTATAATTCTGAGTCCTAAAGACCTGTGCATGTGGATAAAAAGGGGTCGACGCTTTCCTGGGCAGTAGAAATATGGAAGTGCTCCGTATTTCGTTCCTTCTTCTAAGCTCCTGTCGGAAACAAATGAGGTAGTTGATAAGTTTGTTGCACGATTTCTCACCGCTTTACAGGCTGTATGGTGTGGTTCGGGAATGGCATCCCTGAGTTATAACGCGTGTTTCCAAAGGCGTCCTGGACATATACTGTGGGTTGGAGCAGCTTTAGCAAGGATGTCTAATCCTGGTCCTGCAAGGGTCTGGTGTCTGTTAGGTCTGCAAGGTCCCTTGAAAACAGCTGCACCCGAAAAGCTGGGGAAGCTGTTAAATTGGTCGAGTTAAGCCAGTTACTAAGCTAAACTGTTTAGTAGTAGTAGGTTTATTCCATGCTGAAAAGAGAAGAAATACAAAAACAGCTGAAACGTTGTTTTCTTTCTTCTCTTTTCAGCATGGAATAAACTTATTACTTGTTCCTTTGCAGCCTACGCATGCTGACGCAGCTCCCCACCTAGACTGTTTAAAGCCGAACTTGCATTATTAACCCCGGAGGCAAAATCTGCTCTACCATTTGCTACGGAATCTTAAAGTATGGGGTCATCTGTCCAGTACGAGCATGTCTGACAGATCTCACTGCTCTGGTACTCTGGTACCATCATGCTCAGTGTGGTACCTGTCATCAGTGCTCATCATGATGGTAGGGCCATCATGCTAAGTGTGGATACCTGTGATGATCAGTTCTTTCTATGCTCAATGCTGTTTCCACCATAAAAAAGTCTTGTAGAGATTGAAAATGATTGTGCGCATCATAAGTGACCTTACAAGTATTCTATATTCTGCTTTTTCATTGCCGAGAACAAAGCAGTTTAGTCGCTTCATAATCCAAGAGAATCGTGTACAGAGTCTATAGTAGTGTAGACCATAATTTATTTGAAATAAGCACCTAGTTGCTGTCTAGGGCCCAGAAGATCTTTGTTGATGTTGCAAAGTGGTTTTGCTTCACTGTAAGGACCAGTTGCTATTGTCCTTTGTTGCTGTAGTTCAATATGGATGATCTTGCACATGTCTACAGTTTTGTGAACTCTTTTTGAATCACACCAAATGTTTCTGTCATGCTGGATAATGTCAAAGAACTTTTATTAGGACCTGTCATGCTGGTTGCTCTTTAGTTTCCAGGAATTGACAACCTTTTTCTCAGTCTGGTCTCCCACATTACCCATTTTACCTTGTAATCAATGGCCTCAGTAGGGCCTAGTGTATGGTATACTGGTCATATAATATTTTCAGGAGTAGCACTGTGTGTTGCTGGAAATAAGATGTGACTTATGTTAAAGTTTTCTGTTCTACTTGTAGATTACTGATTTCTACTCTTTAAGAGTTTGCAAGGATACTTTTACTTGATTTAAATGTAATTAGTCTAAATCTTCTTGCTGGTTATGTTGACATTGAAAGTGGTGTCATTGCAATTATTCTTTTAGGGGTTCAAGCTTCAAAGTTTGTATACTTGTACCAGTTTAGTACTGACGAGTGTTGTATACATATCACTCATGGAGTATGGTACAGGGATTGAACTTTGTATCAGGCAGTACAAAGTTAAAATGATTTGATTGGCCTTTGTAGAATTCAGGAGTTGTTTACATTTCCATCATGCTAAGACCTTCATTGATTTCTTGAAAAATACTACATAGTACGTTACAATTATGAAGGTTATTGTCATATGTCTGAGATTAGGTACACTAAAATAAATCTATAACATTTTCCTATTTTAAAATCATTTTAAATCTAGTGAAAATGATCCAAAGCAACTTGTATCAACTGCAGATTCATATACTTGTGAAAATCTATATTTCCTGTGTAGCAAAATGGAATATATCAACCGTTTTGTATTGAGGAAATTAGAATTGGTAATTGGCGTTATCTGTTTTGAGGTTTTCACCTTAGACATGAATATTCATTTATATTTTTGGCATCTATGTTTGGAGGTCAAGATTTTAAGAAAAGTGGCATGGTTATCTACTTCCAATTCTGAAATATTTTCTTTCAGAAATAATTTCTTCTTCTCTCACCTCTAGTTTCTTGGTTATTGCAGTTCTGTGCAAATCAGCTGCAGGAATACCAATAAAAGCAAGGCCTTCGATTTCTACCCTGGACACAATTCTAACATATTTTTGATTTTAACTACAGTGCCCTCCATATTTATTCATATTTCTCCTGACATAGAATCAGAAACATAATCTAGCAGAATGGGTTATGGATTGGATAATGTCTCACTTCTGTACTGTAATCATAACGCATTGCACATGCAAAGTCATATTTATCGTAAAGAATTGAATGCCAGAGAACAAGAGGGAACATGAATTTCATGGTTAAGGTCAGAGAGAGCTCTTCGAAGACAGCAGACTCCGCAAGATAGGGAATGGCTATGAAAGAATCAAGAATCTACTTTCCATTGTACTGTCATTATTAAGAAATCTAGACTAACATGGATTGTCAAACAAGTGGGTTGGGAGGCAAATGTAAATCCAAAGGATACAGTAGGAAATCTCCCAATCTGTATCCTGGATTTATATCCTGGCAACTCGAGGAAACAAAATGTTGAAATCTAGCATTTGAAGTTGCCTGCAAGAGTGCGATATTCATAGCCGGGCTCCGAGGAAGAAGCCACTTCTGAGGGCAAACCACATGCAGAAAAACCTCAGACTTGCCAAACATCATTTGAATAACAATTGAAGCAATGTTTTAGGTGAGATTAAATGAACATTTTCTTTTTTTTGTGGACATGCTAATTAGAGTTATGTTTGACATGCAAAAGATGAAGCTCATGTTGAGAAAACACTCACGTCCACTGTGAAATGTTGGGGTCTATTACATTTTGGAGTTGTTTTGCATCTAAGGGTCCTGGAGCTCCTGTCAATATAATGGAAATCATGAATCTCAATATATCTGGCACATTTTTGCCAGACACCTGTTTTTTTTTTCTGCTGAAGAACTCCATCTTGGCCAAAAAAGGACATTCCAGTAAGACAGTAATCCAGTGCACATCCAGATCAACTACGGAGAGGTTAACTGCACTCAAAAAAATATTCCTGACTGGTCATCTCAATATCTAGACCTCAATCCAACATTTCTGATTTTAAGTCAAGATGGCAGTTCACTAACAGAAACCAAAGGGTCTGAAGAATGTAACTTCTGCACGGAGATTGATGAATGTTCATATTATTCCCATCTGAACCGCCAGCACCTCATAACACATTATAGGAAGCTTCTAATTAGTATAATCCTTCCTGCCTGTAGAGAATTTACAAATGGTTACTACAAGGGTGTGACCCTTGAGTTTTCTGGACTTAATTTATGACAGATATGACTTTGCTCTGTGCAGTGGCATGGATATAACTGTATAACATTCGTAGAATTTGGTAAGCAAGAAACATCCGTTCTGTACATCGTTTTGTAGTTTGATGTTTATTGTTTCTGTTTCATCAGAGGTATGAATACATTTGGGGGGCACTGTATATTTACTATGAGGTGAAAAATGCTGTGGTTTTGGGTCTAGTAGAGTCTTGCTGATCCAGAAATTACATTAATGGTTTTTAACCCTTTGAGGGTTTGCCTTTACCCGTTCCACCATCCTTTGCTTTTTAAGCAAAAGCCATGGTTTTGAGTCTTGGAATGTCAGTTAGAGTCCGCAATGCTGTTGGCAGGTGTGTTTCACCTGTAATGACAGTTTGTGCAATACACGTTTTGCTGAATTTCTAAAACAAAAATAAATATGACAGACAATAAAAAAAAAACTAAAAAAGAAATACTGTTCTCCAATTGTAAGTTGTTTTCCTGCCCTGCCTAAAAGACTTTTCACTGGCCGATATCAGTGACATGCAGAATGCCTCATGGCCAGTCTTATCTCACACTTGTCACATGCATCTGCCTCTCCTCTGCAATGCAGCTGTGTCAGTAATAGAGTGCAGGAAAGAGAGCTGTAACCCACTGTGACCTTTCAGAATGTCATGGGATCTAATTTGATTTATACATGATCCCCTTGCCTTTCTATCACTCTGGACAGTTTGCGTCTCAATCCCTTCTGTTGTACACAGCCTTTTTAGTGTTTTCTTCTACATTTTAGATGACGGTGATGTACTTGTGAAATGTACATGTGCGGGCCTATTGAGGACATTGCGTACTGAACATGAAAGTAAAGTAGGTTTGTCTTTCTTCTGTTAAGGATTGACAGTGTAGTTTAAATGCCCCAAAGAGCTCATAAAGATTCTTTGTGAGTTATTGATCTGTTCTTAATGTATCCTTATGCTTTAGGCCAAGTGATTCAGCTTTTTTGGAAGAAATTATTCCTACTAATGGGAGTGCAGTGCTTCAGTAGGCATGCACTAATATAGGCAGTCGTGCATGAGGTCATCTCTTAAAGGAATACGCTAGTTTAAGTTAAAATTGACTAAGCACCAATACTTAAAAGTTAATTACTGTCTTTTTTTAATTATTTTTTCTTAACTTACTAATTACAGGCACTGCTTTCTTTCTTCCCTTAAGCTTTAAAAGCTATTACCCGATTTTCTCGAAAGTAAACTAGGTTTTCTTTCTAAATTTCTTTGGATATGTGAAATGAGAGTTTTTTTGTGAGTTTTCAGTGCATCTAAAAGTAATGATGACCTTTGTGAAGTATAGCATCATTTTAATATGAATTGTAGGTTTTAGAGTAAGTTATGCAGCTAAATTTTCCTTGTGATCTTTTACAGCAATTGAAGTCACTAATTATACCAAAAGCACTATTCTTTCTGAGAACCCGAAGAATTGCAGAATCCACACATCTTGATGGGAACCAACAGGAATGGTTTATATCCCTTTTTTATTAATGGGAATACCTTTACCAGTTCAGTACCTGCATGATGTTTTCTTCTTCTGGAATATTGTATTTCATTAAAACAATGCTAGCATGTTGTACAGAGTAGTGTTTAGGCTGAGCGTCGTCTGAATAGGGAGATGTTTGTGGTGCTGCATTGTGTGTGTGTGTGGGATGGGGGAGGAGCCTGCCAGATGCTGGACACTTGAAAGCAGTAAGCCTTGTATGTTTTATTCTATCTTCAGTTCAGGCACTTGCTGTGTTAGGGTTCATCTCACAAGGCATTTTGACCCACTGGAATTATCCTTCCCTTCTCTGTTTTAATTTCTGCTACCATTGCTTCAGAAGTGAATATTTTAAAACTCAAATTCTACACATAGCATTAGTGTTGGTTTGTGGGGAACAAAATCAGTAACTTCCCTGTATACGGGTGAAAGGGTTTGCATTATTAACCTTTGCTTTTTTTTCCTTCGTAGATTTTGTTGTGTTTTTGGAAGAGCCAGTTTCTTTTGATTTTCTTAATCAAAAGAATGTAGTGTTCAGATGTAGTGTAGCAAAATGTTTAGTTCTCGGGGTTATATTTTATTTTATTATATGTTTTCAGATTTTATGTGAAGGTAGTGCAGCGACATTCATATGTGGCAAACCTTTTTTCTGCAGTAATGTGGTCATCTGATAGCCTGTGTTTTAGTCTGAAACATTCCTCACAACACTAATAATTGTTTTACCTGCCTGCATAATATAGTTTGCAGAGGTCATGTTTATTTTTGCAGGCTTAAAAGCATGTGATACCGCAGTCCTCCACAGTTTCCATCCATGTCATTCATTATCAGAAATCCGCATATTCCTGGTAAGGGCTATGGAAAACCGGAGCCGATCCAGGATGCACAGGACGCAAGGCAGTAATGCACCCTGGGCAGCGTGCCAGTGAACTGCAGGGCATACATGTGCACACATGCATATTATAAGATTTAATCACTGTAAAAAGGAAGAAGCTTCCAATGACAGTGAGGACATAGAACAGTTACAAATGAGAGAGGTCATTCAGCCCTTCTCACCTGTTTGGTAGTTAGCAGCTAACGGGTACATGGATCTCATCCAGCCATTTCTTCAGCAGCAGCATGGCTGGGTGGCTTGTTCAAGACTCCCCTTACCCTTTGTGCACAGTGCAAACTGTAAAAACCTTAGAGTAAAGAAGTGCCTCCTAGCCTCAGTTTTAAATGTTCTTTCACATAGTTTCCAGTTGAGCCCTCTGGTTTGTTTGTTGCTGTTCTTTCTGAAGATGTCACCTGGGCCGACTGGGGTGCTACCTTTGTGGATTTTGAATATATATGCGAGGTCTCCTTTGGAGTCTTGTCTGTTGAAGACTTAAAGGGTTTCAGTTATTTCAGCCTGCAGGGATGTAGAATACTTGTTGGATATCTTGAGCTTTCCATCTGAATACTTTTAAGGAGATCATTTGATCTGATCTTTCTTTAAGGCTAAGAAAAATTGAATACTGTAGCTTTATTTCTTGTTGATGATATGAGATTTTAAACAACTATGATTTGTAAAAGGCCACAGATATCTGATCTGTTTCTAATTATTCATTTATAATCACAGAAGCGAACAGTCAAAAATGAAAATGAGCAGGCTGTGCATTTTAAGTAAATGGCTCAGAGTTCTTGAAACATTTACTAGCTTCCCTTATTATTTTTAAACCTGGTAGTTGCTGTTATAAAGAGATGGTGACCTGTTCTTGGCACAGAAGCTATAAAGTGCTAGGAAGCAAGTTTACTAAGGAGTCTGCTTTCACAAAGATCAGTCAAGGACAGCTCACGTATTGGTGTTGTATTTAGTGATTGGCCGGGAAAGAAAATACTTGGTGCCGTTCTTATCTATTTCTGTATTATTGTTCAATGGGCAGTATGGAATTTGGTGCCATCATTATGGAAAATATTGCTGTCTATACATTGATCAGAAGGAAACTTCAGTGGCCTAAAAATAATTTTTCATCAAGAAAAATGATAACAGGTGCCAGCTCTCTACAATGCAAATGAACAAACCAAAATAGAAAATATTCCATTCCCAAAAAACTTAAGTTATGTCTAAAGCCAGTTAAAACAACTTTTTAGCACATGTAGTGTCAAGAGTCTGTGTTCTATGTTGTATTGTTCACTTGAATGCGCCTGGATATTTTTAATGTCTTTAGATAATAGAACAGTGGCATTAAGTCTCATTTTGGTGATTCGGACAGAAACAACTGTTCTTTTTCACATCTCCATCTGTGACCATTCTGTTGCAAACAATGTGTAAAAAGATAGTTTTACCTTTCATAAGGAAAAGGGTAACAGTGCAAATCATTCTTACATGTGGTTCCAGTATAAACAGATGATCTGGTCATTTCCAGTATCTCATCACCAACCATATATACTTTGCTGGTACAAAACATGATGGTACACATACAGTGCTGCTAATAAATATTGCACACCATACCAATAATATCTATTTTGTTTTGTAGGCAAATATTGCCAGGTCTGATTTCAGGCACCTCTATATTGTATGCCATTAAATTGTGTAGTACAAATCCTACCAAGCATTTAGCATTGGTAAACTGTAGCTGTAAAAGTTCTTTTTAAGTTAAAAACATAAGCAATACAGCTGTTTAACGGCTATTTAAAGTTTTGAGTAAGTTTCACTGCCACAGGTCATTAGATTTTAAAACACTGGCAGCTGTATTATTGTGAATTCCCTGGGTAAGTTCATACTCACCATATGTTTCTTTCTTATATGTGTATCATATGTTGCCTCTTCCCTAAAGATCAGGTGTCCAACCATGTGGTTAGGCAACTAACATTAAACACTAACATTTATAAGAACGCTTTTGGTAACCTTTTTCTATAATCCTCATGAGAGCTAAGCATTACTTGGCCCTCATGAAACGGCATACCTGTGGAATGCTGCATAATTTATCATGTGATTGTCAAATAATTAAAATGCATGCATACACATTTTCCCCATAGTATTAGGTACTGTGTTAGGTGTAATTTCTTCATTTTGTCGCAACTTTTATTTGTTGCGATGAACACAACTTTAAGGCTCCCTGATGTCACTATTTATTATGCGCTGGTAAGTGTTGGGAGAGGTATTGTGTGATGCAGGTGGTGTTTAGATCCATATGTTACAACACTTTAGAGGCCAAAGGTCAAGTACATGCGAGGCACAGGTCAAGAATGGAGTGTCCATTTGTGTGTCTTCCATGCTGTGGGAAGAAGTGTGACATTTGCAGATTCCCATGAAATTTGACCTTCGATGTGTCCTGTGACTTGCAGGTCTGCAGTCAGGGAACCATCATCTAATATGCATGTTGAGAAAGAGAAATATAGAACACAAGTAATAGTTCAGGGTACCAGTTAGATTGCAAGAAAAACTGGGAGACTTTTAATTTTTTAACATACACAACAGCCGACCATATTACTGACTGATATTCATATACAGTGTGGTCCGTAAATATTTGGACAGTGATGCAATTTTTGCTGTTTTGGCTCTGTACTCCAGAACATTGGATTTGACATTAAAAAATGACTAGGAGGTTAAAGTGCAGAATGTCAGCTTTAATTGAGGGTGTTTACGTCTATATTGGAACCATATATGTTGAAATCACAGCCCTTTTATACATAGTCCTCCCTTTTTAGGGGATCAAAAGTAATTGGACAATTGGCTGCTCATTTGTTTCTTGGCCAGCTGTGTGTCGTTGCATCATTAGTTCATGCACAAGAGAGCTAACAAAAGGTCTAGAGTTGATTCTAGATGTGGCATTTCCATCTGGAGTCTGTTGCTGTTGTCTCTCAACATGAGGACCAAAGAAGTGTAAATGCCATTAAAGTGGGCCATCAGGAGGCTGAAAAATCAGAATAAATCAATCGGAGACCTAGCCAAAACATTTTGTGTGTCAAAATCAACTGTTTGGTACATTGTTAAGAAACAAGAATGCACTGGTGATCTTAGCAGTAGGAAACAACCTTGTAGACCACAGAAGACTGCAGTAGTGGATGACCCAAGAATACTTTCAATCGTGAAGAAAAACCCCTTTATGACTGTTGAACAGATCAGAAACACTCTCCAGAATGTAGGCATAGATGTGTCAAAGACTACCATAAAGAGAAGAATACACCAGCATAACCTCAGAGGGTTCACCACAAGATGCAAACCACTGGTAAGAAGGGCCACAGAAAGGCCAGGTTAGAGTTGGCTAAAAAGTACATTAAAAAGCCTCTAGAGTTCTGGGACAAAGTCTTATGGACAGATGAGATGAACATTAACCTGTACCAGAGTAATGGAAAGAGAAAAGTATGGAGAAACAATG